TTTTTTTTTTTTTTTTTTTTTTTTTTGACGTATTGTATAAATTTTATCGAAAACCTATTAAGTAAATAAATAAATAATAAATATATATAGATTAAAGAAATAAAGAAACAGAAGAAGAAATACTCGAGTTGGAGAGATCTTTGGAGCATGGATTTGAGACTTCATTTCCAGTCCGGCGGGTAAGTTCCATTGCTACGGCTTGCTTTCTTCTCCACATTGCTCGAATGTCTTCCGCCATCATTTGAGTTTCTGATTCGTGAAAATCTCGTCCATGTATCAGATCTCACACGACTTTAGGTTTGAGAGTTAATTTGAGGCGGGACGCCCGTTTCAATTGCTAGAGGATGATTTCATTCTCGAAGTGCTAATTCTTCATCAAGGTCGGGAGTTCGTGTTAGATCTCCGATAACCACTCCAAAACCTGCATTCCGATCGAGCGAAGCTGCATCAGTGTTCAACATTGGGAGATTTCGAGGCTTCCATTGCGTCAGGTGAGTAGCTTTTGCCTCTGTTTACTATTTCACCGCTAACGCTACCTGAATTTGTTCAAGTCCAAACTCATTCTGTCTTTCTTGAATCCTGACTGGTTGTTCGGTACACCTAACCGGTTACTAGTCCGATGAAATCTCCGGTACCTCCTCTGCCTCTCTCTGAATCTAGTAGTGGAATATCTGCAATTTTCTGTACTTATAATTTCATATAGTAGCTTATTTGTTTCTTAGTTTGGCTTTGCTACTTATGCAAGTATTCTTGGTGCTCGAGAAAGGTTGGAATAGATTCGGTATATATTCATAGTTTTGGATCAATTTCAATAGCAGTGAACATTATCACAAAACTCTGTAGAATCCTTCCGCCGTTCAATTGAACTTCAACCGTGAGAGTTCTCTGATTCTCTCTTTTTTTGTTCCTTTTCTTGTTCTTGATTGCGATCGAAAAACAGGTTTGGATTTACGATTCTCTGCTTTAGTGCGCTTCGGCCTCTCTTGAATCGTTTTAGTCCTCCTTGTTTTGATTATTAAGCCTGCATTGGTTCTGTTTGCCGGATATTGATAATAATCTTTCTTGAGGTTTGGATGTTACGAATTTTCGTCTTGATTGCTTTTCTTTTTGGATACTACGTCACAGGCCGTTAATCATTTTCTTTAATTCTGTGCGCTGTCTCATTATTGTTTTGTTGCTTCTGAATTATTCTGCTTGTATGTGCAGGTATTACAGCTCTGTGTTACTTTGAATTAATTTATGGCTTCAACTGTTCTTAATGTGCCTAATAGTGTTCGAGGAATTGATGGTTTGGATTGCGGCTCCTATCTTGGGCTAAGACCTTCGCCAAGTTGAAATTTCCTCTGTGTTCTCCTTGTCTTTTCATTGTGAGAGCGGCGATGAATGCAGAGTGGAAAGCTGCGGTCGTGGATGGCTGCGTTCCAGAAGCGCCTCCTGTGCCGCCAAAACCGGATCGCCAGTCGGAACTCCTGTGATTCCTTTACTGGTTAGTGTTGAAGATAAAACTGAATTTTCACGTAAATTAAAATTACAAGTAGGTTTTGCAGGAGAAATTAGTTTTAGTCTTTTAGAGATGACTACTATATAAACTTGGTGAAATTTGCAAATCATAGTTGTGTGAGCTACTTATGATGAATTTTCCATCAGCCGTCATCCACGTCGTAACTAAAGGTCCCCTGCACTCAGAGCATCATTTCAGGAAACCAACCTTTCACCTGCAATTTTTTATTATCCCCTATTCATTCATGAAGGAACGCACTTTGTAACCATATTACCTTTATTCATTTCATGTCCATGATGATATGCCGTTATTTCCATGGGCATGCGTTAGTTTTTAGGTAATGTAGGTCTAAAGATTAGGATTTGCAGGTGAGGAAACTAGACGTTTGTGCGGTGAGAAAGATTAGGATTTACCAATTACCATTTATCAGGGTGTAGGTATGTATGTATGGTTACAGAGTTTATTTCGTGTTTTGCAGGAGTTATAACGAATGGAGTCTGTACTTCAATTATGCAAACAAGCTGTCGCCCAGGTAATTTTTCGAGATCGTTGTCTATTTAAATTCAACCCTTGAATACTATAGATCCACAGTCCATCTATGATGTACAGAGTACTGAAATTATGCAAATATGTACAACTACTGAAATTATGCGAACATGCACGACTATCTTCCAATATTTAATGTTTGATCAAGCTTTCATGAGTTCCAAGATTAGTGTGTCACGTTGCTTATAAATTTTGTAAGGAGATGAGTGGATTTTGCCTTTGTTGTGTGGAATACTATACACAGGCATTCCTAATTTACCTTACAAGTTTCCCCCCACTCATACACAACATCTTTCCATATGTCCTATTACCAGAAATTTATTGGTTTCTTTTATGGCATACTTCGATTTGATCATAATCCCGTGCTACTGGAGAAGATGTTGTCAGTCCAAGTGACATGATGAATGGTAGGGTAGGATCAATTAGAAGGGATCTTGACGCTGAAGGCTTTTATCATGTCTTCATCGTCTCTTTCAAAACAAAGTAATTTGTCTTCGTCTATTTCACATTTTTCTCCCCTTTTTTCTTTTCTTAGCCACTGAACTTGTAAATGCAGTTCTAGCTTTGTGTTACTTAGTTCTATTAGAATATCGAACTATTGGCTATTAAAAGAAAAGTGAAATGATGTTTAATCCTAGATGCTTTACGAAGCTATTAGTTAAATTTTTTTCTATCTTAAGAGTTTAGATCATGTAAATAGCCTGTGCAAAGGAATTATTAGATGTTTGAGTCATCTTTTGCCTCTAGTAAGTTAAAAAATTGTAAGTCTATTGTAATGAGCTATTTTGCTCAAATGATTCGGTTACACGCTGGACCCTATTGGAGCATCATAGAATTTTATGGAGAGGGGGCAAAATCTCTCAGCACTCAAATCTGTCTTTTTCTAGAGGAGAGGAAGAGATGTTTTCACTTCTTAAGTTGAGTTCATTTTGAAATCTCTACATAGTGTCCGTATATAAGCTTTTTGGAACATCCTCCATGGTCATTCATGTACCACATATTAAATAATGAATCTACCATACTAATCATTATAGTGATTCATTAATAATCTAATCCATGTATAGTCTAATGAATCTAACTAAATGAGTGCACACTCATTTAGTTATTGATGAATTAAGTTTACTCATCAACAGACCCTGCAGCTAGTAAGATACCCGGATGCTGTATTTTCTTCCCATGCGGATCAAATCCTTCTTGAATATTGCTGAATTTATTTTCAGTAACTTATCACTTGAGAGGGTGAATATTGAACAGTATGCGGGATGTCTTTGAACTACTTCTTTACAGTTTATCTATGCGTAGCCAATTGTCATGACTATGGCTTTTAATTCTGCTGCTGTTGCTCTCTTTTTCCCTCCTTCTTCTTTTGTTTTTTTTTCCTTTCTTTTTTTCTTTTTCTAATTCATGAATGGTCAAATTACTTCTGTTTTCAATACCAACTATGCTTTTCTCGCTTCCTTTAAACAGGGATGCAAGTTCATTGTATGGTCCATAAGGCTTCTCGGAATAATTCTTCTTTTCCCATTGCAGCATATCAGGTATTATTAACTAATCTGCTTTTTTTCGAATATTATCTTTATTTCACCTATTTTCGTATGCATCCTCACATTCTACATTATGAAACTAAATATCAAATAAGATACCACACTTGTGCCTGATGCTGGTGACTAAATGCCACCATGATTTGATAAAAGTTGTAATTTAAAACCCTTGACTTCTCTATCTTATTTTTCAAGATTGCATTTGGTATGATCACACTTTTAGAATTTCTAAACACTGTCAAGATTGTATCATTATTGCAAGCTTGATGTCTGATAATTGACAAGGATGGTGTTAGAGAAAATGGAGGCTAATAAAACTTGTATGTGAATACAAATTGGAATCTGATTATATATGTGATTAATATACATTGAGTGTTTGTTTAAGAATGAGGTTTAAAAACTGTTTTTGACTCAAAAAACTTTTGTCCAGTGTACGAGAATCTAGTAATTACAAGTAGCATTTTTTTTCCCATGTTCAAATGCACTGTTTCACGAGCCATTATTACTTATTAGTTCTTCCTACAATATTTCTTTAGGATTAATCTGTGCACAGAGGTTTAGATTTAAGCTCATTTGATTTTTTTTCCCAAGTACAACTTATTTGCATTGTCATAACAGAAATGTTAACAGGTGAATAGAACATCATAATCTATCATCTTTCTATACATGTAAATCTTTTCAAATAATTTACATTTTCGATTAGGTTTCGGGCATATAATCGATAAACAAGGCTGGAGGGTTCTCAATATGATTGACGAAGAAAAGGTCATGGAGTCTCTCATGTAAAACCAAGCGGGCGTGTTCTATCTTCTTCAGAGGTAAAAACCACATTATATTCAAACTTTGGATTGAGTTTTGAAATTTAAGCTTTATACACTGTTTTCAACTTACAGGTTGTTTTTTGGTTTTGGCATCGATTAGACACTTTCAAAATCAAAGAAATTTCGGGTTCGGATTCAATTGTTTTCTTAGGAAATATGAAAACCATTGTAAAAAAAATGGTAAGAGAATAAGCACATATAGGTTATATATCGTACAAGGCTTTAGTAGTAATTCACGGATCAACCCTATCCTTCATCACTACCGTTGCTTTTTGAGAAGTTCGATTTAAGTTAAAAAGGATACATGGTGTTATAATAACCATGCACCACTACAAAATACGTTAAAAAAATAATTCAAAAATATATTGTGTAGCTGTAGCCTGCAACGTCCGGAATCTTTTACAATAAGGACGGGGGCGCAAGCAACTTTCCCTTTCAAAACATATCGGCCCCACGTACTCACTCCCAAAACTTGCCGGAGGTAATCACATCCCTGGAGATAACGGCATTTTAAGAGACGGAAACTTGTTGCTTCTCATTCTCCATGCTCATACAGGTACCTCTCGGCGATGGTTGCGTGAGTCGCAGCCCCGATCGGTAGGACGTCTTCGTCGATCATGAAGTAAGGGGAGTGACCTGTGTGGATGGAGCCTAATGTCTCGTTCCTGATTCCTACGTAATAGAACGCTGCAGGAACTAACTGCGTGTAGAAGGAAAAATCCTCGGCCCCCATCATTGGTTGGACCACCCTGAAATTAGGTGAACCGTGTAGATCAATCGCCACTTTCTTCACATGTTCATACATCTTTTCGTCGTTTACAGTTGGTGGGTATATGGTGTACTCTCTTTCAAAGAAGTCCACCATTGCCGAGCATCTGTAGACACTGGCCTGCTCCACAATTACCTGTAGGATAGGATCGTTCCCCACCACAAATTATTTTAGATTCGAAATTAATTTGAGATGATTTTCAAAACTGATTTTTTTTTTTTTTTTAAATTTCTCCCAAAAAAGAAAAACATTTTAAATTGAATTTTAGGGTATTTTTTTTATAAAAAAAGACTTTGAAAAATGATTTTCTCAACTAAAAGTTATTTTTAAAGCTATGAATTTTGTCTTATTTAGTCTTTAAACTTTTAAAATTATTTAGAAACTTTAAAAATTGTCTAACCAATCTTTTAATTTTGTATATTAATCAAAAAATTTAAAATTAATTTGTGTTAGAAATTTAAATGTTATGTTTAATAAATTCTAAAATGGTTAATTTTGTGTGAATTAGAGACAAGTTTTCTAATTTTAAAAGTTTATTTTAAGGACAAACCTCCTTTATTCTTTGAAGAACTTGGTAGAAACTTGAGTTGGAGTAAGCTCTGAAGGTACCACCAATAACGACGGTGTCCGGTATGATATCCAGACTATTCCCTCCATTAAACGAAGTTACTGACACAACCTGAGTAGACAAAAAATTGCAACGTACGGACGATTTAATTTGGAAAAATTCAATAGCAGCAAAATCACAAAATAATAATAATAAAGTATCACCTGCGAGTCTAAAGGATTTGCTTCACGAGACACAATCCCCTGCAAGCTGATGACAGCGGCCGAGGCAGCCAGAACCGGGTCGACTGACCGGTGTGGCGAACCGGCTCGGCCCATCTTGCCAGTAATCACGGCCTTAAAGAAGCCGCAGCCGGCTAGAAGAGGACCGGGTCGAGACCCAATAGTGGCGGTGGGATATTCATGAGAAACATGAACGGCAAAAATGGCTTGAACGTCTCTTAAAGCCCCATCTCCGATCATTCTCTTTGCGCCATTGCCAGCCTCCTCAGCTGGCTGAAACAGCAGAATCACCGTCCCCTGTAAAACAGTAGAATGAATTTCGAATAACAAATTACTACGGACAAAATTTAAAGCTTAAGATATCGCTCGTTTCATTCTCCAACACCTAACACCAATAGAATTGATTATAAACTCATGACCATTTTCTAAATTAGGAGATGTTCATCATCCAACACCTCCCCTCGAACAAAGTACTTTACCAATCTATCGGCATGACTAAATTTAGGGCATGGCTCTGATAGAATCACGGATCTCCACCGTAGTATGATATTGTCCACTTTAAGCCTTTGCTTTGGGCTTCTCAAAAAGCCTCATACAAATGGAAAGAGTATTTCTTGATTATAAACTCATGATCATTCTCTAAATTAGCCGATGTGCGACTTTTATCATCCAACAAAGGTATAATAAATAAATAAATAATGGATGTATAAGTCAAAAGTGAAAAAAAAATACTTATAATTCTCGATACGTAGCTTTCTTTTAACCCACAACCAAGGGCCATTAAAAAACAGCCACATATTATGGTCCCAATTGAATAATTTTTCGTTAAAAAGAAGTCTTCTAAAAGAAGTTAATGGGTCATATAAAGCCAAAGGTTAAAGTAAAGTGGTTTCTAAGTCGACACTTCTTATTTGTAACTATAACGAGTAGACTTCACGACTATTAAATTGATGTATTTATTATGGTTAATTACTAATAAATTTCTGCAACGGTATAAAAGTCAATTAGCCTAATTGAACTAAAAAAATTGCTTAATTTATGTTTTTTTTAGTGAAATTTATAGGGTACGAGTTCATACCCGACATTATTTTAAAGTTATTTTTTTTAGTATAACAAAGGTAGTATATGAGTAATTGAACCTTTGACCTTGCCAGAAAAAACAAAAAAAAGAACATTACTATTCTTACTACTTTAATTTATACCGTTTTTCAGATAAATCATAGGGAACAAAATCCCAAAAACAGAGTGAATTTTAACTATTACAAATTCTTTAAAATTATTTTGTGTCAATAACCTTTTTTAAATTGTTTTTGTTTTGTTTTTTGTTTTTTTGTTTTTGTTTTTTTTTTTAATTTCTATTTTCTAGAAATGTAAAAAAAGAAGAAAAAAAAAAAAGAAGGGGGGTGTGAAGGGCAAACCTTCAAGAGATGTTCTCGATCCTTCAAAATCTTGGCAGCACCAAGGAGCATTGTAACGTGAGCATCATGGCCACAAGCATGCATCTTGCCTGGGACTCTGCTTTTATGCTCCCATTCCACAGCTTCCTGCACCATGTTTTTATGCTCATTCTTTAATGCCATCATCTTACATTTTCCAATCTCATAAGCAACATCATCTAGAAATTGATCTTATCAGTTTAGAAACTAAGTAAAATAAAACACTACAAATTCAAGGGTTCTAATGAAAGTAACAACAAACATCAAAATTTAGAGATCAAATTTAATATTCAAACGCAATCTTTAGTGTGTGAAATTGGAGAAACTATCTCAATATCTCAAATTCATATTTAATCGTAAAGATATCAAGAAATTTGAATCTACATCATCAGAAATTATGAGAAGGTTTCCATCGAGTGCTTTCACGTGGTTAATTTTGATTGTGTACAACTCAATTGCTACAAAAGCGTAAGTATTCCTAGAAGATTTTATAGATATTATGTCCCACTACTGCAACCTCAACCTGTGAGAAGATACAGCAGATGCCATCCCCACCACTTGCACTTATCCTTTATCCGGAAAATTCATGGGGATAAGCATTGTGCTGACTTTATTCTAAAGAAGAATTAAAATACCATATTTGTAAACCATTTCATTTAAAGCTCTTATTCTTTTTATAGAACTTAGACCAATATATGTATATTAAATAAGAGATTTAAACACGTGACAAAAAATAGTAAAGTGAGCGACTGTGGAACAAAAATCCCAAAATTACAGTACCACTATTATTTGCCTTGAGACAGTAACTGACGCCAAATTAATGAAGAAAACTCCATGAGTTTTCGAGAATGATTATAGTTTCTAAAGTCTAATTCGAAGGCAAAAGAAAATTGACGAAAAGGCATTTAACGATATGTTTTGAACAGAATCTGAGAATTAGCGTAGAAGTAAAAACATGATACACTTTTTCACTTTTCTGGAAAAATTGTTGTGTGAAAGAAGATTAAAACGAAGAAGCGAGATGGTGGAAATTCAGTTATGGAATGTTTGAAAACAAGTTCCATCTGAATTTTGACAGAAAAGAACTATTGAGCGAACCTATTTCCAGAAATAGTTTTAAGAACAGAGTTTCTTTTCTTTTCTTTTCTCCAAATTCTAATCTCTGTTTTCTTCCTCTTTTTCTCGTTTTCAGTCATGTTGTTTTCAATTTCAAGGCAGAGAGAAACATCAAGGCAATCAATCAGTCGTAAATGTGAAAGCAAGTGGAAAAGAAAACGAAAAGTAATCAAAAGCATATAATCAATCATAATCGCGATAACTGATTTTGTAGAAGAACCTGGATTGGAAGAGCATCCATATCGGCCCTAAGAGCAACAAAAGGCGGTCCGCCAGTCCCGATCCAAGCACGAATGCCAGTCTTAGCCAACGGATACTCATAGCTAATATCCATCCGGTCCAACTCACCGCGAACCAACTGACTAGTTTCGAATTCTTCGAACGCAAGCTCCGGATTCTCGTGGATTATCCTTCTCACCTTCTTCAACCAATCAACAACCTCCGGCCGCTTCGCCAAACTCAGGATCGCCTCAGAGCAGGCCTCCGTCCATACCTCGCAGTTCTGAGATTCCAATCGAGTCATCAGCGTTCCAACACTCTGATTCTTCAGCGAATTAGAATTCCGCACCGTTTGAAAACCGCAGCCAGCGCCTATTAGAGAAGAGCCGCCGTGATCACCGCCGACTGGCGAGAATATCGCGTCGATTAAACAGACTGAGAAGCTCTGAATCGCGATGAAGAAAATTAAGCAAAGTCTTGCAGAAGAGAACATTGTGACGATCACAGAAACAAATCGACGGATGGAGAGGAGGAGAGGAGGAGAGAAAGAGCGAGAGATTCCGGCGGAGGAGAAATGGAAGAAGAAGAAGCAGAGAAAGAGGGAAAAGTAGAAGAGGGAGGGAGGACGGTGGGGAGAAGCAAGGTAGAGAGAGAGAGAGAGAGAGAGGGAGGATTTTAAGCACGTGGGAGTGGGAAAGAGGTTAGAGAAAAGGAAGAGGCGAATTTGGTGCACGTGGTAGAATATGATGTGTTACAGAGGTGAGAGAGGGCGTCGAATCGAAGCTGATAGGACCACCACTTTCATTTCAGTGAGACGGCTACACCTCCACCTTTTTCTTTTTTACAATATATTTTATTTTACCCTTCAATTATATATATATATATATATATATATAATTAAATATTTTTTTCAAAAATTATAATATTAAT